ATAGAACACCGAGATCATGTGTTCGACTCCTATTTAGTGTATGAAATTTTGAGTGGGTTTGGTCTGTGTTTGTGATGTTCTATGTAGGTAGTGGCCTTGCAACGGGCTGATCCCCCGTCCGAAATGTCCTAACGACTCTGTATAGGACTAAAAACCTGAAAAGGTGCCAAGGCCCAAAGGGCCATAGAACAGCAAACAGCATGACATTCAATATTGTAATTTTAAATATGTCATAGAATAGGTGTTTAATACTTAGTTACTTCATCTCAAACTTTAAGGCAGTAAGGCCACATTTGGTCTTAGAAATAATTGGAGGTCAGAGAAACTGACCTATGGAAAGCAGGTAATTAAAACAGACTAAGTTTTAATACCACCCGGTGAAAGGTGTTTGATATTTTAAACAAAATCTAAATGAGTATTGCTCTCGCAGATTCCATGTTTTATTTCAAAGCGTGAAATTTTGGTTTGGCAGCGTATTAAAATTCCCTAGTGTCACTATGAATTATTGTATCAAAATTTCTTTCTCTATCTTCTTGACTATGAGTTACATGATTTCTTCCTGTCTATTGACATGCCAATGTCTAATCCTTTGTGTGTGTCCAGCACAGAATAACACAAGAAGAATGACAAGTGAAGAAGAGCGCCTTGCGAGATTGCGAAGGACGTTGCGTTCCTTAGCGACTCGAGTCCCAAAAGTAATTCTGAAACGAGTTGACTCAACATTTCCTGTTCTGAAGGATCAGGCTGTAAGTGTCGTGCATTCAATTACGACTTTACATCAGAAGTATTTAAGTCGTTAGGTTTCTGCATGTCATAGAAAATCCGTTCCCCTAAAGTCCAGTCTGTTATTGCTCGCCCATTTCTGTTTAAGTCACAGCTACTTTCGAAGTGGTTTCACCACAAAAATGTTGTATGAATTTGTCTTCAGGCATTTCTAATTACATGTTGATCCTTCTCAGTATGTTTGATTGAATTACTATAAGCGGATAGAAAATAGAAGACCCGATAAGATTTGCGGCTCACATGTCGATTACTGTGAAGATAATTGGCTAAGAAATATTCCAAACGCGTCATTCGCTATAACTTGTATTGTTATACTAATTATCTCAAAGTCGTTGAGAGAAGCGCAATTTTTTTTTTCGTAACGGTAAACAAATGCGACATTTGGTTATGTATGAATTTATTTCTAAATAGATTTGTCTCGTAGTAATACGTATAAATACATGGATGAAATTGATGTTGCTTTTAAATCAAATAAAAATTCCAAATTAAACATACACTCGCACCCTTAAATACACCGATAATAATTTACTAGATTACATGACTTCCTACCCGAAGGCACATAATAACTTCCATGAGAACCCAAAATCTCGCATGGTAATATTCAAAAACTCTCAGACAGCTTAAACTACCATACATAGTTCTTAACCATTCGGTAAGGTGGTCTTATAGTATTAGTTGGAATTAATTAAACTTACAGTTAGTAAATTCAGTAATCGTGGCATATACGGTAATCAAAATGCAAGTGGAGTATATCATATTTAACATAAGCCTGACAGACAGCTGGGTGTTGAATAATATGTGTATAAACACTTTCAACAAAATGAAACGTAAAAGATAGGATGTTCATAAAACTATATTCCACTGTACTTAAATATAAATAACAATTAATTAAACATTCAATTAGATGTAATAAATAATTAGCTATTGCCCATAAGTACAACCCAGTAGATTAAAGAGCCGCTGTATGTACCTTCGGGTTCGCAAATTTCTTTAAACGGAAAGAAATTACTTTCAGATGCAATTGAATGTACACTAAATCAGTGAACGTCTGAAGAAATATTCATATTAAGATATTTTTACATAAAACGTTACAGGGGAAGCTTCACCAGTCACAACTTTCAGTCTACGTTTGCCACAGTATAAAGACTGTTGTAATGCACCGTATTGCGGCGTGTGTAGGGCGCAACAGACACAAGAGACTGTATTTATGGAGAGACATTTGTGCGTGGGTTAGTTTGTATTCTGGAACACGCTGAGACACAGTACCACCTTGCTTCTTTCTCATCTGAGGGAAATCGACATGGGGAAAGCTAAAATACTGCTAAGTCTTTCAACATTACAGTTCCTGATAGTGTTTCTGTCTCTTTTAGACTGTTAAATTGGATGCAACCAGTAGAGAGTCTGCACACTTCAATAAGGATGTTAGCACCGAGGAACTCCCTGGTGAACACAGTGCAGATTTGTCAGAGTTACAGAGCGAAGGGAACTTTAATTCGTGCGAGATTTGTAAGAAAACATTTTCTCGTAGCAATAATATATCGGGACTTACAAGTGCTAGTAGCAGAGGAACAACTTCTCATTGTGAAATGTGTGTCAAATCGTTCATTGAGACGCGTAGTGCAGTGCGACTATTCAGAGGTGGTGAACGGAAGTTTTCATGCAATGTATGCACCAGAAGTTTCACTAGTCGCTATAATCTAGACAGTCATATCAGGGTACACAGTGGAGAACGACCCTTTTCTTGTGAAGTGTGCAAGAAAAGGTTCGCTCATCGCTCTAACCTAAACAGGCATCTCAGAGTACACACCGGAGAAAGACCTTTTTCGTGCAAAGTGTGTAACAAAAGGTTCCGTCAGGGCTTTCATCTAAAGACCCATCTGAGAGTACACACTGGGGAACGGTCTATATCTTGCGAAGTGTGTAAGAAAAGGTTCACTCATAGCTCTAGCCTAAACGCCCATCTCAGCATACACACCGGAGAACGACCCTTATCTTGCGAAGTGTGTAAGAAACGTTTCGTCCATCGCTTCAACCTAAACGCCCATCTCAGAATACACACCGGAGAACAGCCTTTTGTGTGCAAAGTGTGTAAGAAAAGGTTCACTAACCGTTCTCACCTAAAGACGCATCTCACAGTACACACTGGAGAAGGGCGTTTTTCATGCAAAGTGTGTAAGAAGATGTTCGGTTATCGCAGTAACCTAATCACTCATCTGAGAAGCCACAGTGGAGAACGGCCTTTTTCATGCGAAGTGTGTAAGAAAATGTTCCGTTATCGCGAGAACCTAATTCCTCATGTGAGAATACACAGTGAAGAACGGCCTTTTTCATGCGAAGTGTGTAAGAAAAATTTCACTCAGAAGTCTCACCTACACAGGCATCTCAGAGTACACAGTGCAGAACGATCTTTTTTAAACAATGTGAAGAAAAAATTTCACTCGCGTAAGAAATCTAAATGGGCGTCGCAGAGTTCACCATGAAACATGGCATTTCCACATAATGTGCACAAGAAAGCGTCCACTCACTGTGACAGTCCAAGTCTACAGAGGCCTCCTAAAATTCGCTGTTCTATGAATATGTATTTTCATTGACTGTAGTGTGATGTTCGAAGTAATCCGTTATGCTCTATTAAAAATTACAAAAATTGAAGGTTCTTTGGTGTGATACAAATTTGAGCTAGGTTCATCATGTATATAGCCTCAAAGCGTCCTTCATTAAGATTTTTTTAATAATATGCTGTCATATACTTTATAATTTTATAACTGTTCTTATTGCAAAGAATAAATATCTAACTGGTCTGCTTGAGCTACTCTCTGATTGGGCCTATGTGTACATCCTCCTTGGGCTTCTATTTCAGTGGCGCCACATTTCTGAGCATATGGAAAGAACGGAGGCAGATTGTTCAGGATGCCAAAGCCCACCCTGAGCTGTAGCCCAGAGGGGAATGACAAGATTCCAATGTCTCAAAAAACGAACATTTGTAGCAGTAGGTTTCTAGGTATTGAATGCAGTACTACGAGATTCCCAACGACTGCAAATAAAATTAAATGTCACAGATAACAAACAAGCATGAAATGGTTCAGTGCATTTGTATGTATGTGACTGTTTTACTATGTGTATATATATTGTGACGTGACGGCGGACCGCTCGGTATATATATTGTCGCGTATCGGGCGTATATCGCGACAAATAAAT